CTTCAGCTACATCTTCAGCGGGAGGAGGGGCTAGAGCGAGACAGAGGAATGGCAAGCCGCGTCCGTCCCAGCTCGGGCACGTGCAACCCAGGCAGGAGTCGCACTGAATGTGTAGACGTTCGACTTGATGAAGGGCCTTCAGTTGCACACTGAACCCAAAAGACCTACACTCCGAAGCCTTAAACCCTAAGAGCCCAGCTTCAAATGCCTTGAGGCCCCGCAAGACACGCTCAAAATACTAAATTCCCATCCCTAACCCTTCTACAGGTCGGTGGTCTCTTTGCTTGGGTTTCTGTTTTAAAGGGGCTGTACATGGAGACTTTACTACAGCCGCGAACACTGATCCCGAGCAAGCTGAAGCTCCGCTTTACACAACAAGATAAGGCAGAAAGGATGCCCCGAACCGTGAAATTCTCAACCCTAAGCCCGTTCCGAAGCAGAGGAGGAGGACTCCTCGTCTCCCAGCGCCTCCAGTCTTAAACGTTTGGGGTTCAGGGGTTGAGGGTTGAGGTGTTAAGTCCAACTTGAGGATTTTAAACCTACTTTGCAGGGTTTTAATCAGATTTATCGCCTAGGAAGGCTGGGGGTCTCTGTGTAAGAAGGTCCGGAGAGTTGTCTCAGCTTTGAGATCCACGTGAGGTGTGGCAGTAACGGTTCGTCTAGGGTTTGGGTTTAGATTTTAGGGTTTAGGGCTTAGTCTGGGTTTCAGGGTTCAAGGTTCCCTATAGATCTGTTTATACATGTGTTTAGCATAAGGAACCAAACATTCTATACTAGCTTTGTTTTTCTGGTCGTCGTATGGTGTCTATATACTGGCTGTGAAGGTAGAGTGAGAGGTCAACAGTAGTCGTAATTTCGAGACGACTACTTGTGCTGCCACTGAAGTATTGCAGATTGTTACTTGTTCTTGGCTCATTGTTCTGCAAGCTGGGACTCTCCACAACAATATCCTATACCGATTACCATCCCACACCTAAAAGCCTATACCTGTTTGGAACTTAGGACCTTTAACACTTATACTGCCCCTTAGAGAACTCGAAAAGAGCCCTTGAAGCAACCCCCGTGCTACAGCAATGAACGCCACGCTTTCTCCGCGTGACGGTCTCTGAAAACATCCGAGGAAACGGACCTCCAGCAAGCAGCCCGACGCGCCTGGACCCCACATACACTGCAGTTTTTGGGTTGCAGCCTTCCTTAGGGTCCTTTCAATTTCCAGTTGGGTGTGGTCCTTCCGAAGCTTCGACACTCCGTTCGATCACGGCGGAAACGATTGACATGATCATCATCTTAGCTGTCGTATTTGCAGTGCCACCTGTGCATAATCGTATTTACTCGTCGTCTTCGTCGCCGTCTTCAAGCTGGAGCATGCAAGAGGGAAGCTTCCCCAAATTCAAGTTTCGACTACAGTTCACACTGACCAGGCGCGACACAAATTCGCCCTGGCCAAGGCCCAACATGGCAATTATACATTTTTGGGTTTGAGGGTTGGGCTCTTCCGGTTCAGAGGTTTGGTATCACGCGCGCTCCCACACCCCACGCTCGCTCGCATGCCCGCCCGCCCGGTTACATAGCGGGTTGCGGATGATAGAGCAAGGTTAAAGGTTTTGGGGGTGGGGGTGAGGATGATATAGCGGGTACGATAGGGTTTGCTTTATAGGGGTAACTGCAACGTGCTTTTAGATAGCCTGTTGGCTCAGGAAGTTACAGGCTTTCAGGGTTAGTTAGGCCTTCGGGCACCTTAACCCTGAACACCAACCCCTAAACCCCAAACCTTAAACCCCAAACCCTAACAACCCTCTCAGGCGTTTCACTTGTGAGGTGTTGGGGGGGGGGTCAGGAATTCTATTTTTGTGACTTTGCGACATTGCAGTTTGGGCAGCTTGGCCTTAGGATTCATAGGGTTTAGAGTTTTGGTTTGGGCAGCTTGGGCATAGGATTTATGTACGTTGGACCTTTAGGGTCTATGTGAGGCAATGTCCTTGTTTCCCCAGTAGAACCCTTGGAAACTCGTGTCAGTGATCCAAAACATGAGACGCAGGGATTCGACTTGGGTTTTGGGGGTTCAGGCCTTAGGCTTTAGGATTTGAGTTTCAGGGCCCCCTCTCTGCTTCAGCAAATCTCTTTCTTTGTAGTTTTTCCTCGTCATTCCTCTCAACCTCCTCCTCTTCCAACGCTACGAGACATACCACTCAGATAAGAAAAGAAAGAGAGAGAGAGAGAGAGAGAGAGAGAAAAGGGGTGAAAAGGGGGAGGCCATGCCAGCGGGAAGACCTGTTTCCCACGCCACCCCAGAAACAGGGGCGGGCGTAGACGCCCGGGAGCTTCGGTTCCCAAGCCCTTCGAACGAAAGAAAGAGAGAGAGAGAGAGAGGGAGGGTGAGAGAGCGACCGAAAAAAAAGAACGAGACCAAGAGCGAGAGCAAGAGCAAGAGAGACGGAGGAAAGGAGAGGAGAGTGAGAGGCAGGAGCAAGGATGTAAATTTGTATCTTTCTCTTTAGCAGTAGAAAAACTGATTTGGACTTGAGAGGTGGAAAACCAAGAGACCCTCTCTCTCTCCTACGGTCTATGCTTCTCTCAATGCCTCGCCCTGTCTCATTCTTTCTCTCCTTCTTCAAACCTCTTCCTCCGTAGTTCTTCCTTTCATTCGTCTCCCCTTTCTCCTCCTCTTACACTTCCACGAGACATACCATTCAGAAAAGAAAGAGAGAGAGAGAGAGAGAGAGAGAGAGGGAGAGGGAGAGAGAGAGAGAGAGAGCCAAAGACCGACCAATAAAAAAAGAACGAGACCGAGAGCGAGAGCGAGAGCGACGGGGGGAGAAGAGAAGAGGGAGAAGCAAGGTAGGAAGAAAGTGTAATCTCTTCCTCTGTTTTTCAAGAAAGAAAACTGATCTGAACTTGAGAAGTGGAAAGCCAAGAGACCCTCTCTCACGGTTTCTCTCAATGTCCTGCCCTGTCTCAGTCCCTCCCTCCTTCGCCTACGGCTGATAACCTGCGTGAGGGTTCGGTATCCCTGATACAGTATGTTCGCTCCCCTCACCAGAGCTTATGTAGATGATGATGATGTGGTTTGCCTTGTCGAGCTGTAGATACCACGCACTCCTCTGTTCCAATCCCAATCCCTTGGAGTCGTCTCGCTGCAGAGTGACGATCTATATGCACGGGAATGGCTCAAATCCTTCTGTAGGTTTGTCAAGCTAGTTGGCAAGTATATGAGCTGTTGCCCATACTTGAGTCTTGAGCCAAAGTTGCGTTGCATGCGGAATACAGGATACTGGCCATAGCTCATGGCCCGAATACGATCCCATGAGTACGCCGCAAAAGGATAGAGACAAGAACCGCAAAGCAGTCTCTTGCTCTTATGCACATGATTGCTGATGACATTGGACAACATAGATCAGGTCGCGATACCTACGATTGGACTAGGCATCGACGTCCGTTCGCATTTTGTGCTACAAGTATAATGGGGAACCCCAAATTGGTATCGTAATTACTTGATCATACCCCCCAAACCTTGTTCTAAATTTAAGTCCCCTACATCAGGCCAAGAATTTCAGAGCGCAACGGCGTCCTGCAGGCCGCTGAGCTAAGTAAGGGCCCGGCTTCCGTGTGGTCGGACCGGGAAATCCTGGTTATGCCTTTGCCAGAGTCCTATGCATGTATGTAAAAAAGACGTATGGGTCAGAAGTTTAGGGGTTTGGGGCTTGGGGTTTGATGCTTATGATGGGAAAGTTGATGGTCTTCATGCGGCCTTTGTCCTTGGGTAGGAAACCTTTAACTATTCTGTGCATTGTTAAGAAGCCAAATATAGCTAGAGTGTCGAGCTTTGGTGGGTTAAGGAACCTCAATATTGGCAGGCGCCCACAGGATACAGGAAAGAGTTTAGGGCTGAGGGGTTAGGGTTTAGGGTTAAGACTTTAGAGTTTCGGGCTTAGGGTTTGAGGATGTTGTCTCCAAAGCCAGGATATATCTGAGTTTTAGAGTACCTGCACTATCCAATTTAGGTCCCCGGCCGATTGGTTCGCTTCATTGTGCATGGTTTAGTTTTTAGGGTATAGGGCGAAGAAAACGATCCTTCTGGGGTTGATTGCCTCTCAGTAGTCAGTGGCCAGGCAATCCGGTAGCCAAAACAGGCGAGTATAGGTCGGTCATGGTGCTGCCCACAAGCTATCTTACACAAAACTCGGATAAGGCAAATTATGGTAAACCCGGCTTGAAGTTCAATGGACACTTACAAAGGAAGTTTGTAAGGACCTCAAGCTGTACTTCAAGAGGTCGCAAGCATAGTTGCTTGTCTTCTAAACCTACTCTTTTCTCTCAATGGCCCGAAACCCTGAAGCCTAAGCCTACTCACACCTATCCATGACCTTAAACCCCAAACCCTAAAAGCCCTAAACCATAGGCCCTATCGCAGGATCCATGCGATGTCAACCCAGGCTTCCCTCTCAGGGAATCCGGAGATCCTAACGAATCACTTAAAGGCTACGGCGTTTGGGTGTAATATAAGAAGCCTCAATGCCAAGATTATTCCCTCGGGTTTCTCATTATAGTCTCCAACCCTATAAATGCCCTTGGTGATAGAACCCTTTCCCGCGTTTGGTTTCTGACTGTCAGGGGGTTCGACCTTCGCGGCACCGACTGTGTTGCAGGCGGGCCGGGTTCGCGGTTGCTTTAGAGCTCTCTCAAGGGCTTACACTTTCGGCTTAGGGGTTACGGAACGGGTGCTCACTTACTTTACAGGTTCCCTCAAGGGCTTTAAGTCTCAGGGTTTCGGGATTCAGGGTTCAGGGTTCGGCGGTACTTTACAGGTGCCAGTAAGGGTTTAGGGGTTTAGGACCGGGTTCGGGGTGACTTTACAGGTTCCCTCAAGGGCTTGAGTTTTGGGGTTTCGGGGTTCAGGGTTCGGGGTCTCCATCGGAACGTGGGCCAATGGATGCGCTTGCCAGTGGGTTCCAGGGACACTGCTGCTTGGTCCGTCTGACCCCCTCGTCCTGCGAAAACTGATGTATGTATCGGACGCGCCCCGGGCTTGGTATGAAGAAGCCTCCAGAAGGTTGACGTCGCTTGGATTCGTGAAGATTCCCCTGGACGTCTGCCCGGACCTTCGACAATCGGTCTTATGTGGACAATTTGGTGGGGATTCAGACCCAGCTATCCGCACAAAGATCACGGAGGACCTCCAGCAACTCTTCGATGAGTTTGAGTTTCTTGGCGTACAGATGGCCGACAGCCTGATGGCGACATCTCCTGCAGCCACCACCACTACCTCTACCTCACCACCAACTTCGGGCACTTGTGGGAGCTCTGGCTCGTATGGGCAACTACGCAGACTTTACACCTGCGGGTCCTTACCTCCATGCTGGCTGGAGAAGTTCCCAAGGCAACGGTGTCACGGCGCAAGCAGCAACCTTCTTAAAAGCCACCGCAAACAATGCGAGACCACAACAGCCCTGGTAGCGTTGCAGCTACCGGGGCCTGTGTGTGTGTGTGTGCGTGTGTGTAAACGTCGGAACATTATCATTTGGTAGGGCGAGGGGGCAACGAGCATGTCTGGATTGCGCGCCTAACAAAAACCGTCCAGACTTGCTATACGAAGATGCGACGCCTTTTAAACGTACCTGCATGGCCGCCCAAACACTGCCCTTAAACCTGTTGTTTCTGTCTTTGGCCAATATGTAACACTGGAACATGCTATCATCGTGAAGAATGCGGAATGGTGACGAAGGGCAGAAAGAACCAGTCTACTGTTCGCTGGATCAAAGCAGGGCATTGGATCGCGGGTACGTACGAACCATGTGGTCACTCAGAGGGGGCTAGCAGAGCTGCGCGCCAGAATTCGCTTTCCGAACCGGAGGGCCTTGTTGGCATTCAGGAGGGTGGAGGCCTGCAGCGGCGGCCGTGGCTCGGGGGGAGAGTTCAGGGTTATGGCTGTTACAACCACTTGCACGCGTACTTATTCCGTTTTTGTGTATGTATATACATATATATATGTATTTATATACATACATGCAGATTTTGTAGTTTATATACATCCACGTATGACAAGCGGCGATGAGAATTCTACCAGGACCGCAGACGGGTAGGGATGGATAAGCGATGTATAAGGGTTCTGCACCACGTTGGCCGGTATCTTCACTTCCGCCCACAAGGCACAATCTGCATCTGTGGCTCCTCCAGACGACCGACATTCCATCGTCAGTCTCATGGCAGCTTGTCACATCAGCCCTTTCCTTTGGTTTGAGGTTTTGGCTTCCGGGTTCAGGAGTTCCCTGTTTTGCGATCACATCTTCACAAGAAGCCACTTTATGAATAAAAACGGCGCTATAATGCCTAGCGCTGCCGCCTTCATCTTCGGAACCTGCTTCGGGGCGCTTACTAGCCCAATCTTACTCTGGGCTTTGCAAGGTTCTCACAGATCGTCATGGGAGAGCCTCTTCACCGACAATGCAATGGCATGCAGAAGTGGACAATCAAGTCAAGTATCAAGCCGGCTTTGTGACATGTCGTCGCAGCCGAAACTCGGATTGTAGTTGAGTGTGGGTCTCAGACTTAGTACGCCCCAGAAGCCCTGACGCAACCCAAGGCCGATGAAGGCCGATGAAAGCCGATGAAGGTGCAGCTGGATGGATATTTGAGGCAACAGCGAGAGGAAATGGTAGCTTTGAAAGAGAAGCTTGACCGAGATTCATCAGGGCCTTGTGGAACCTGCAGAAAAAGCTTGGAACTCTTGAGCATTTGTCTATGGTAGGGCGACTTCAACGGCCTTATCCCTCGGCTCCTGTGGGGGTGGAAAGTCATCGAAGTATGAATTGCAGGGCTACGACCACATTCAAGGTTCGGAACATGGCACTCAGATACACCGTTTTGGGCCGTAGGGCTTATGGCTTGAAAGCTTAGCGTTCTCGCTGTTTGGGGTATCCAACTGGTAGATGGCCGACTCTCAGGCAACCAAAAAGGTCGCGGATTCCGATGCAAAGTATGCCTAGGCGGATAGGGTCTGGGCTTTTCGGTGGTTTACGGGCTTGAGGTTTGGGTGTCGAGTTGTTTCAGGATCAAGCATGAAAGGCCTGCCTCTAGACCCTAGTCTGCTACCAGGATGAGGTTCTGCATCATTCTAAAGTCTAACACCCTAAGCCCTAAACCTTTAACCCAAAGGTGTTCCGGAGGTTCGGGTTTCGGACTGGAAAGACCTTCTTTACGGGGCTTTAGGTTTAGGGTTTAGGGGGGGATACGCTTTGCATGACAGAAGTATCGCCAACATAATTAGGGTGTATTCCATAATTCTCTGATTTTGAAGTCTCCGGCTTCCTTATCAACGCGATGGCCTTAAAAAAACCCTGGAAGACCAGCAGCCCAAGCACAAACATCCGAACCCTTGAGCCCTGAATCCTGTATGTGTTTGAGACCCTGCAAGCCCGAGACCCTAAACCATAAGTCCTGCAAGACCAGAACCTACTAAATCCCAAACCAGGCAATCGTAGGACCCTAAACTAGGCCCAAAAG